ACTCGTCTGCCACGTCAGCTAAAAATGATGTTTTTTCAGCAGACCGAGTCTGGTAAAATCCCTTTCTCTCAGCCAGAGCCTGTTTTATTTTCTTCTGTTTCTGCCCACTCACCGCGCAGCGGGAGTAAACGTGTTTCTCCACGACAGCTGCAGCCTCCACCGAAACGGCGTCTCACTCAGAAAGCCCTCACGCCTTCTCTCAGTGCGCGCCGTCTCACCTTAGCTCTAACGTGAGACCGCAGCCTGGGCTCAGCACAGAGGCACACATACAGCCCTTTTCTCTTGGAGCCCCCTTTGGGTCCCCCCTGGAGAATCTCCGAAGCGGGTGATGGCAGTAAGGGTTTTTAGTCTGGTTGATGTCCTTGAGAAACATGACACAACACAAAATGCGTGCCCGCTCTCCGAGTGTTACTCATAGTGGCAGCGAGTGTGTTCCCTGGACAGATGGATGGACCGTCTGATCAGCAGGGGTTACACGCTGCAGTTCGCAGCTCAACCCCCATCGTTCAGAGGGATTATAGAGACGGTTCTGTCATCTCCAGAACAGAGCTCGTCTCTCCAGTCAGAAGTTCAGGAATTCCTGATGGAAAAACGTGATTTCCAGAGTTCCCAACGGAGAGGAAAACACAGGGTTTTCAGAGCCGAAAATCTGTCAACTCAGCTCCGCTGTGTCAAACCCTGCAGCGTAGTGACAGCTTTGCCTGGCATGCGACTCCTTGGGATGATGTCAGCGGCTCACGTCGTAGTTCTGCTGGGTCTGCTACACATGAGATGCCTTCATAGATGGTTTGCCCACTTGCGCATAGATCCTGGGTGCCAGAAGAGGCAGATTATCTCTATGCCCCCCTCCGTGAGAACCGATCTGAATCACTGGGGAAACACCCACTGAGCCCACGAGACGACCCACCGTTAGGGATGGATGCCTTCGCTCACAGCCCATGGCCAAAAATGCTCCTTTATGCATTCCCTCCAGTCCTGCTGATATCATGGACCTTGGACCGGTTCCGGGAGGAAGAACTGTCAGTCAACCTCGTAGCTCCCGAGTGCGTAAGCGCCCCGTGATTCCAGATTCTGTAGCGATTGATATTGGGTCAGCCGTGGAAACTGCCGTTGGGGGGGGGGGCGGGGGACGCTCTCCTCTAGGCAGGAAGAGCAATTAGAATTTACCCAGAAATAGGTGAGCTTTTTTGGGTTTGGCCACTGAACGGATCCGTTTAGAAAAGAGGCAGTGTGACCAGATTGGGCAGTTTACTGCCAATTGGGCGGTTTTCATTCTGAGTTTGCTAGGAACTCTGGAAAGATTTTTGTTGGTTTGTTGCATTTTGCCACATATTGTTAGATTTTTGGGCTGGAAAACCTTGACTCTATCTGGCAACACTGAAAGATGGGCTTCCCACAGGATGTGGTGCGTACGGTTCAGGGCACACGAGCCGCTTCCACTACAGCGCTGTACACATTAAAGTGGACAGTTTTTCAGCGTTGGTATGCAGAGAAAGGCATGGAGGCCATCTCATGTCCACTAGGTGGCGTGCTGTCATTTCTACAGCAACTGATGAACAGAAATTTAGCGTTCAGCACAATTAAAACTTATGCTGCAGCTATTTCTTCCTGTCATGAGTTTTTCGGTGACAGAACAGTTTTTAACCACCCGCTGATGAAGCGTTTTCTGAAAGGTGTACGGAGACACAGACCAGTGTCACGTCCACTAGCTCCACAGTGGGACCTAACAATGGTCCTGCGCACTCTGATCAAAGCTCCTTTTGAGCCTTTAGATCAGGTTTCACTTTAATTTCTGTCATTTAAAACAGCCCTGCTGTTAGCTCTGACGTCGGCGAAGAGAGTCAGTGATTTATCTGCTCTCTCTGTTGCTCCCTCATATCTCAGAATTCAAGCTGACGGCAGCTCAGCTGTACTGCGTCTTAACCCTGCTCTGAAAAGCATCACAAGATCATTCAGATCGAGAGTGATAACCTTGGATGGGTTTTATCCTCCTCCTCATAATTCCGAGGAGGAAACAACATCTCACCTCCTCTGTCCCATGCACGCGCTTTCGTGTTACATGGCGCACACGGCCGCACTGCCCCGCTCTCAGCATCTGTTCGTACTTTACAGGGACAGCTCTTCAGGATGCCCTCTATCCACCCATCGCCTCTCACACTGGTTGTGTGAGGCTATTTCTGAAGCTTACAGTTCATCTGGGCTGGATCCTCCAGAGAATCTCAGCGCATTCCACCAGAGGGTTTTCATCCTCCACGGCTGTGGATGACAGCGGAGGATATTTGTATGGTGGCTGCCTGGTCATCGCCGTATTCATTTATTAATTTTTATTTATGTGATATTTCTACTTTCTCCATGACCCATTCTGTTATCAGGCTTCTGACAGAATGATTATTATTTGTTTCATGGAACCTCACTTTTGAGCTCACAACTTTTTTTTGTGCAAGCAGGTGCTTCATGTTTGTGTCTGAATGAACCCAGTGAGGCATAGACTACATCCTGCTTCGCCTTTAACCCACTAACGATAGCCTTAAAGGGTGAAGCCTATACGAAATAGAACGTTTGTTACGTACTGTAACCCCAGATTCTATGAGTATAGGTGCAGCCCTTTAAGCTCTGGGCCTCACTGGTTCCTAAATGGCTGAAGAAAAAATCTATTTGGGAGCCGATTACCTGGTCTCACCGTAATTTATATGGACCAGGGGAGGGGCTCACACAGCCGGTGGGTGCAGACTAAAGTTTTCAGTGCTGCGCGCGAAGGCATAAACCCACTAGCGATAGCCTTAAAGGGCTGCGCCTATACTCATAGAATCTGGGGTTGTAGTATGTAACCAACGTTTCTGTAGCTGTGCAACCTCCATACCACACGTTAATGCTTGAGCACAGGATGCTCTCCACTGCACACCTGTAGAAGGAGGTGAGGACTGAGCTTCCCAGACCAGCTCGCCTAATCCACCAAGTAGAGTCTCTGATGAGCTTTCTTGATCAGGCTGGTGGTGTTGTTGCCCCAGCTGAGGTTGTCGTTCAGTTGAACACCCAAGTACTTGTAGCTGGAGACCACTTCCACAGCAGATCCTCCTATGTTTGTAGGTGTAGGTGTGTTTTGTTCCTTCTGAAGTCCACAACCATCTCCTTCGTCTTCTTCACATTGATTTGAAGGTTATTCTCCTTGCACCAGCTCTCCAGGTGTTCCACATCCTGCCTGTAGCTGGACTCATCATTGTTTGTGATACATCCCACCACCCCTGTATCATCTGCAAACTTTACAATATGACAGCCTGGATGGGTAGCTGCACAATCATACGTGAGCAGAGTAAACAGGAGGGGGCTCAACACACATCCCTAAGGGAAGCCAGTGCTGAGGGTTATGGTGGAGGAGAAGTTGTGGATCCTCACAGACTGAGGTATATTTGTTAAGAAGTCTCGTACCCAGTTGCAAATGGAGGGGCTTAGTCTTAGTCTGAGTAGTTTGTCCATCAGGGTTTGGGGGATCATGGTTTTGAAGGTAGATGTGAAATCTACAAAGAGAATACGGACATAGGAGTCCTTCTGCTCCGTGTGGGTGAGCCCATTGTTGACCACAGAGGAGATGGCATCCTCTGTTGATCGGTTCTCACAGTATGTGTACTGAATTGGGTCCTCGTTGATGTTTTTTTTTATGTGGGTCATGACCAGTTTTCAAAGCATTTAGCGACTATCGGGGTGAGGGCCACTGGCCGGTAGTCATTCAGACCAGTCACTGTAGAGCTTTTTGGGACTGGGATGATGGTGGCAGTCTTCAGCCAGGTGAGAACTGTTGCCAGGGTTTGAGGTGTTAAAGATGTAGGCCAGCACCTCACAGAGCTGATCGGCACATTCTTTCAACACTTTCCCGGGGATGTTGTCTGGGCCTGTTGCCTTGTGAGGGTTAATCCTCCTGAAAGTACTCCTTACTTCTGCTGAGGTCACGCTGAGATGCTCTTCATCCGGTGGTGAGGTGAGTCTGGTGCTGGGTGGTCTGTTCGGGTCTTCAAAGTGCATAGAACTTGTTGAGGGCATCAGGCAGTGATGGGTCTTTCGGGCATTGTTTGCTCCTGCCTTTATAATCTGTTAAACACTTAATGCCCTTCCACATGCTCTGAGGGTCTTGTGAGGTGAACTGACCCTCGATCCTCTGTGCATATGTGGCCTTGGCCCTCTTTATACTAGCAACCAGCTCTTTCCTTGTCCTACTCAGCTTCTCTGAGTTTCCAGACCTGAAGGCAGTGTTCCTGGCTTCCAGCAGGGTGCGCAGCTCTGCATTCAGCCAAGGTTTTTTGTTTGGGTAACTTTTAACATATCTTATAGTGGAGACGGTGTCAGTACATGTACTAATGTACCCCAGAACTGAGGATGTGTATTGGTCTAGATTAAGTGCTCCTCCCATTTTTAGCAGCTTCTCTGAAAACCTGCCAGTCTGTTCATTCGAAACAATCTCAGTATGGGGCCACTGTCCTGGATCCAAGATTTAACTTTCTTTTGTACAGGTCTGGAGCGTCTCAGCGGGGGCAGGTAAGCAGGAGCCAGGAATATTGAGATGTGGTCTGACAGTCAGAGGTGGGGGCAGGGTTCAGCTTTGTACGCATCTTTTATGTTCGTGTAAGCACGGTCCAGCGTGTTGTTTCCACGTGTTGGTATGCCCACATGACAGCCAGTCATTCAAGTATTTAAACATTCATCTGGTATGGCTTTTTGGAATTAGAACTTTGAACACATTTTGAAATACTTAACTTTTTAGATACAGTATGTTTCTTGTGGAAATGCATTCTGATCTTTTCTAATCTTTAAAAAGCTTTTATCGTATTTTATCTTTAGCTTCTGCTCTGCTCGTTTTAGCTTTTGTTTTGTTAATTTTAAACTTGGTTTAACCGTTTTAACTTGACTATTCCGTTGCATCTTTTTTAAACAAAGTTGAGCAAATCTCAGCATTTACACTGAATTTTCTCAAAAACTGCAAACATTAAAGCTGTTATAATATTTTACAGACAAGTGGAGGTGAAGCGGATCAAGGAAGCTTTTACAAATGAAGGTCTGGCCTTTTCTCGCATAACAGCCATCCTGCCCTACTCCAAGGGCTTCATATGTAGTACCGGTCCTGGCACAGTGTGTCTGTTTGAAAAGACACAAGAGGACAGTTACAGGATGAGCAGGGAGATTCTGGTAAACAGTAGTGCAGTAAATAAAACTGTTACTGGTGCTTTAAGCCCTGTGTTTACAATAAACTTATTTCTGTCAGATTCCTTTAGATCCGTGCAGTGATGTCCTGACTCCAGCAGATTGCCAGGAGATTGACACCATGAGTGTCAGTCCTGCAGAAGAAACTCTGGCCATCAGCACAAATCAGGGGCAGCTATACAGCATCAGCCTTTCATCTGTATTAACTAACAGGGTTCCTGTGAGTATAATCAAGATCACAGATCAATACATTAACAGCACTGGTTTCACTGGGGTGAACTGTGACAGTTTTAATGTTTCTCCCTAGAACACAATGATGAAAATGTTACAGTTACAAGTTTCAACTACATTATAAAATGAAGGTAACTACTTTGTAATTGTATTCATCCATCCATTTGCTATCACTTATCTATCACTTTCAGGTCTCTCTTGTAAATGAGTCCCCGAGGCTCAATGGGAATAACCTGTATAAATAAAGGTTGAATGAATGAATCTGTAGTCAGGTTGCGAAGGCAACAGGTCCAAGAGAGAAACCCAGACATCCCTCTCCCCAGCGACACTTTTCAGCTTGTTCTGGGGGACCCCAAGGCATTCTCAGGCTAAAGAAGATATAACATCCTTCCTGCGACTTCTGGGTCTTCTTCTAGGCCTCCTACCTGTGGGACATGCCTAGAAAACCTCTAAAGGGAGGCATCCAGGAGGCATCCTAATCAGATGAACCACCTCAATTGACTTCTTTTAATGCATAGGCGCAGCAGCTTTACTCTGAGCTCCCTCTGGATAATGAAGCTCCTCACCCTGTTTCTAAGCCTGAGCCTAGCCGTCCTAGGAAGGAAGCTCATTTTGGCTTCTTGTATCAGGGATCTCATTCTTTTGGTCATGATCCAAACCTCATGACCATAGGTGAGGGATGAAACGTAGACAGTCCAGTAAATCGAGAGCTTTGCCTTTTGGCTCAGCTCTTTCTTCACCACAACTGACTGAAGCAATGCCCTCATTACTGAGGATGAGGCCTCAGTCCATCGATCCATCTCCCACTCCATCCTAATGTCACGTGAACAAGACGCCTACTTGAACTCCTCTATCTGAGGCAAAGTCTCCACCTGACCCGGAGGGGGCATTCCACCTGTTTCCGGTTGAAAACCATGGCTTCAGACTTAGAAAAAATTACTCTCATTCCATCCGCTTCATACTTGGCTGCAAATTGCCCAGTGCGCGCTATAGGTCTTTGCCTGTAAATGCCAACAGAACCACATCATCCACATAGAACAGAGATGAGTATAACCCTTTACTTAAGGCTAGGGGCCTTAGGTGAGAACTTTATGGACCAGTATCTACGTTCGAAGGGAGGTATTGTAAATAAGAATGTGTGGTGTGAGAGAATAACTGGAGACAAGAGATGTGCAAGAACAATATTATTATTTAGAACAAAAATGAACAAATACAAAGTTTACAAGTTAACAAGCCAGCAACTCTAAAGTTTATATTAGTACCCCAAATCCAAATCCCTTAGTTCAGTCTGAGCTCCATAGTTTGTAGTCTTTAGTCAGTCCATCCATCCATCCATCCATCCATCCATCCATCCATCCAT